TGTGGAGCCATCCTCTGGGAGATGATTTTTACTTTCCCTCTCACTGTCTCTCTATCTGAAGTGAGCATACATGCCTTATGGAAAAAATCTAAAAAAAAAAAAAACACTTAAGGGAACCAGCAGTTAGCATAATGGCTAGGTCGCTGGACTCCCACATAGTCGACTGCGGTTCACATCCCGGACCCGGTGGCTTAAAACTCACGCCGGATGCGTGGGCGTGCATGCCCAAGATCCCGAGAGGAGAATGGAGGAGAAGGGATTGCGGCATGGCCATCCCCCCCCAGGGAGGGATTTCTTGCTTTCTGTCTCTCTGTGTCTCTCTCTGTCTCTCTGTCTGGTGAGCTCACGCGCCCTATAGCAAAAACCTCTCAAAAAAAAAAAAGAAAAAAGGAGTAGGAGCTAGGATTCTACATACATATAAGTATCATCCAGCAAACATAATGGTTTTTGAGGAACTTAATTCATCTTTATGTGTTCTGCACAAAATATAATGACAAAATTTTAAATACTACTGATGTGAGCTGACATTTCAAGTTATTATTAATGGTTTTACACATCAAGTATCATGGGGTTTTGCTTTTAGCTCAGACTTTAAGCAGAAGTAGTTACCTGTTAGATATCTGATAGCATTCTAAGACCACTCCTTGTATGAACTTATTTAATTCTCATAACAAAATGTGGAGGTAGGTACTGATATCCCCATTTTGAAGTCTGTTAAAAGATAGAAGGGTTAGTTAAGCTGCCTCAGATCACATAGTTACAGTAGATGTAACACCCCTGCCTCAACAGAGCTGTTAATATTACTCCACAAAGAGCCTTCTGCCATGACCTAATGCAGAAAAAAGAGCCTTCGGGTAGGGAATCCACAGGCTGACCTCCATCACTGTGGTGCAGAACTTGGGTTGGTCCACAGCTTCCATTCCTGTCCTCTTCTCCTTCAAGTGCCTCCTCTAGTGCAGAATCTGGTCTGCTAGAAATTGCATTTTTCAGATTCCTGTGCAACCACTGTGGATGTGAACTCGGTCCTGCACCTGTGCAAGAGTGAGAGGGCAGAGGGAAACACAGGGATCGTCCTGTTTTTTGGCATGTGGCTGCTGCTAATGAGGCCTTGAGAAAGTGAACTTTTCTATATAGCACCCTGGCTCCCCCTCTCTAGTGTCACGGGCATCAGCAGGCAGTGATGTAGAGGTGGCAGTAACCTCTTCTGCTTGCCATTGGCTGGTCACTCTCTTGACAGCGGCCTCCTCCTGTCTGGTTGCAGCTACTGGATGGAGTTGTTAGGCTCAGCAGGGTCTAGGGTGGCCTTTCTGAGTGAGACAAGGGCAGCAGTCCTGGGGAGGAGCCCGTTAGGTAGCATTATTCCAGGGGCCGTGTCCAGAGCCCCAACCTAGAGTTTGTGTCTCCAGGACTGAATTAAATTAAATCCCTTTCTCTATGAAGTGTGTAGATTGATTCCATTTTACTGCAGCTAACCCTGCCAACACTCTAGACTCCTGAGCAAAGATTAGTATCTTTTCCAATGTTTGGTGAATTTGGGGGGAGTAAAGCATTGATCTCTAAGTACGAATGGCCCAGGCAAGAACACAGATTATTCCATTTGTGTGATACTTGTTATTAAGTGTTAATATTAGTGAGAAGAAAGGAGATACTTATCAGGGTCAATTTCCAATGCCTTAAAAATGTGTTGTGGGACCAGCAGATGGCTAAATGGTTACATCGCTGGACTCCCACATAGTCGATCACAGTTCGAGTCCTGGACTCAGTGGCTTAAAACTCACGGCAGGCATGTGTGCGTGCATGCCCAAGATCCCGAGAGGAGAATAGAGGAGAAGGAATTGCAGTGTGACCATCCCCTCTGGGGACGGGGAAGGAGGGCGGGGCTGCTGTGATTTATCGCTTTCAGTCTCTCTGTCTCTCTGTCGAGTGCATGTGTCCTATAGATAAAACCTGTCAAAAAGAAGTGTTGTGTTTAATCATACATTGAAAAATATAATTTTCTCTATACAACATGCATTGTTTTTCCGTTTCATCAGCCTTTCTGGATTCTCCCCATACACCCATCCCCACCCTTTTCTCATTTGTGCTCCTTGGGATGTAACCATTCTTATACTTGCTGTATTCTAATGAAATCACCTGTTTTCTTGAATAAATTTTCAAATATATTAGAAATACAGGCATGTCTTCTTAACCAGTGCGTCCCCAGGGTTTAGCACAATGCCTGAAATGGGGCAAAGTACTCTGTCTGTATTACCTAATGCATGAAAGTGCATCCCCTCTCGGTGTTATTGTAAATGAGTACCTGACCATGACTATATTCTGGTGAACAGAACAGATAAAAGCAGGTAAATACCACCCCTTGGAGAATTTCCATCATGAGCCAAATTTCTACCTAGGTGTGAGACTCGTTATATTTGTACTAAAGACCCAGGGAGCTGGGAAAATATTATGCCTATTTGCAGAAATGAGGCAATTACTGTAAAAGACGTATTATGCAATCATCTTAGTAACCCAAACAGGGCTGTGAGCACACACTGTGAACATAAAGACAGGCAGATTTTGCAAAGAAGTGATTTTCCAAAAGATACAAAACAGTTCTTGCCGTTGCTGAGACAGAGGCAGTGTTGTTCTGTCCAGTCTTCGCCAAAGATGGAGCAGCTGAAAATTACCAGCAAGGGCATTTACCAGCTATCCCACTTACTCTTTCCTTGGAGGTCAAAGTGATCCTTCCTCCCCTTTTGCAGATGAGGAACCTGAGGCTACAGAAATGACATTACAGGTCCATGGCAAAAAAGACTTCAAGTTGGTTCCTTTGTCTTCCAGCTCAGCCTTTCCACACGTCATCACTACCTGTTTTCTCAGGCAGGTGTAGGGTGTGAACGGCAGGGTACCTCAGGGTGGAAAGTACACTCCTGACCTGTACGCCCCTCTGAGGAGCTAGGGCCTTGTCTGCCCTCGAGAGCCCTCGTCCAGGCTGTATCCCCAGCCTCTGAGGTGGAACAGGACTCTCAAAACGTGACTCTCTCCCCGGGGCCTCCCATCTAGCTGGCTCGGATTCTTTGCTGATGATGTGAACACTACAAAGGCCTCGTAAGCTCAAGGTAAAACTCAAATCCTTGTCTTAGTCTGCACTGAAAGTGTGGGTTCTAGAACCGAGAAGGGAACAATTTGGTTTTATCAGATTTGTCTTCTTCCCATATTCGTCTCTGGGCATTGGCTTTAAAGTTTAAAACGCAGTGAATTGCAGTGTGATGGGCAGAGGACCCACTGGAGCTGAAAGCACACAGTCACCACTCGCTCCTCTCAGTGTCCGAGCAAAAGGCTTTCCCCTTGCTCAGACTTCGGACTCCACATGGAGCGCTTACCCAGCCCCTCACACTCCTCCTTGCTCTGCGCCCACGAGGCTCTTCTCATCCCTCAGGGCATCTGCTAGCCTCCCTCCTTGTCCTTTTCCTTCATATCTTTTATCACAAATGACAATAATGCATTCATATCTTCACTTAGTGTTTAAGATCATCTTCTCAATTGTTTGTAGGCTTTACTTAAAAGAGAACGTGTGTCAGGACCAGCAGTTGGTGTAGTGGCTATGTTGCTGGACTCCTATGTAATCAATCGTGGTTCAGGTCCCGGACTCGGTGGCTTAAACTCACACCAGGCGCGTGTGCGTGCGTGCCCAGGTCCCGAGAGGAGAATGGAGGAGAAGGGATTGTGGCATGGCCATCCCCCCTGGGGGGTGATTTCTCACTTTCTGTCTCTCTGTCTCTCTCTGTCTTCCTGGCGAGTGCACGCGCCCTATAGCAAAAACCTCTCCAAAGAAATAAGAGAGACCATGTGTCAATTGTTTGTAAGTTTAGTTTAGAAGAAACTGTGTTCCCTCAATCTTCCCTGGCATTTGGCATTTGGTTGGATTTTAGCTGGTGAATGAAAAAATAGATGGATGAAGAGATAGGATGGATAAGTCGTGTATGAGTCCCATATATAAGATAATTATGGGGCCAGCAGATGGCAGAGTGGTTACATCTCTGGACTCCCACATGGCTAATTGTGGTTCAAGTCCTGGTCCAGTGACTTGAAGTCATGCCAGGTGCGTGTGCATGCATGCCCAAGATCCTAGGAGGAAAATGGAGAAGAAGGGATTGCAGGTGGCCATCCTCACCAGAGGGTGATTCCTCACTTTCCCTCTCACTGTCTGTTTGTCTGTGGTGAGCACACATGCCGTAAGGCAAAAACCTCTTTAAAAAAAATTGATAATTATGACATCCAGGCTGGAGAAGAGATGATATGGGGAGGGGTCTATGAGAACTGGGTCCCAAGTGGAAGGAAGGACTGTATATTTTCTTTTTATCAAGTGAGCCAGAGAGAGAGAGCCCCTAACTGGATCTTTCCTACTGCCATCCACCCCTAGCTTCGACAAGCCCCAGGTCATGAATGTATCTGGCATGTTCAGGGAGGTCTCCAGATGCAAAGCCAGGACCACCCTATGTAGGTCGCCCTCACAGAGAACTGCATTACTGCAGCACCTCTGTCAGGACCCTGAATATTTTAATCTTCTTCTTTTTAAAATAAATATGATGTATTTATAAATGAAAACAAATGAACAATGAACAGTATCTCAAAGGTTGCAAAAAGTGACACATCCTCCGTGTCAAGTGGGGATCAGCTCATAAAAGCTTTAGGAGAGAGATCTGACACATGATGTTTCACACCTATAAGAGCTATTTAAAAGTGAAATAAATATAGCAGTAATTATTTATCTTGTTTTGGAGGTGTTCAAGAACCAACTAGGTGGTCATTTTCCAGGAGTGTGGTGGGACAGGAAAGGTATTCCTGCATTAAAAAGGGATTCTGGTGGAGCTTTAGGACGCCTGTAGCTCTCTGATTCTGATTCCCAGTGCTGTTTCTTCTGTTGAGCCGGAGACAGCTTTGTTCTTTTTCTTTTGTCCACTACATATGCTGTTGACTGATGCGTTTCTCTACTCTGCTTCCTTCTTCTGGGGATATAGATGAGGTCCTGTCTGAAAACTTCCTGGACTATAAGAACCGTGGAGTCAATGGTTCACATCGGGGCCAGATCGTCTGGAAGATTGACGCCAGCTCTTACTTTGTGGAACGTGAGTATTTTTACCGTTATTGTTGCTTGGCAGACTTAGGCGAAGCAGATTCAACGGCTTTGTTCTTTGCTCTGTTGCATTGCCTTTTCTTAGAAATGTGCCATGTAGACTTAATGAGGTCCCTAAAAATATTTTCAGTAGTGAGTAGCAAGCTCTCGAGCATTTGGAGAATAGTCATCCAAACTAGCCCAGAGGGCCCTTCTTTTCATGCCAAGGGAAAGTTTGATTTGTGTTGATGGACAGTGAATCCTGTGACTCATCCCTTAACTTTCACGCCATGGCTTCTCCCAGTGGTCTCCAATTTCGCCACAGCTGAGTCTGTGTCTTTTTTTTTTAATTATTTTATTTACTTTTATTCATTGCCATTATTTTATTTTAGTTTATTTTTGAAGTTGACTAGAGAGAGAAGGAAAGTGAGAAAGCAAGCTGCCAGGTCCGGGATTCGAAACATGGTCAGCCATGTGGGAGCCAGTCACCCTAACCATTTGCCAGCCCCTTTTTCTTTAGAGGTTTTTGCCTTCGGGTGTATGCACTTGCTGGAGAAAGAAACAAGAGACAATGAGAGAGAAAGTGAGAAATCACCCCCAGGGGGAATGGCCATGCCACAACCCCTTCTCTTCTATTCTCCTCCCAGGATCTTGGGTACAAACACACACGCACCTGGCATGAATTTCAAGCCACCAGGTCCAGGACTTGAACCGTGGTCTACCTTGTGGGAGTCCAGCGACATAACCACTACAACATCTGCTGGTCCCAACCACGTCTTTTCAACACAAATCCTGTCTTCCAGTTCTGTCTTTGACCCACGCCCTTGGGCCTCCTTGCCTGTGGCCCCAGCATGGTGGTGTGATTCCATGTTTGCCCTGACCTTCGTCTCTGGCTACAACCGCTCAGCATGGACACGACGTGTTTAATGCAGCCAGCCTATTCCCTTGATTCCTGATCCACTGGCATTTCTTCATGTGTAAACTTATCGTGTATCTTATTCAGATTTTTTTTCTAAAAATTTCTTCTGTCTTTAAAAATAAGTCACTTTCAGAGTTATGGCAGGATTTTTTTATAGGTCCCCATACTGATGCATTTCCCATGGCATGAGGAAGCACATATCTGGCCTTCATATTTGTCTCCTGAAGGAATACTCCAATTACCTGTGTTCCGCACCACCTTTCCTTCTACGTGGGTGTAGGAGAGTGCTTTTATGGACAAATTCCTTCATCTGCTTTCTGTTCTCGGTGAGCGTTCATTCAACTGAGCATATCTGAGAGAAAATGGAATACTCTGTTTTCCAGCTGAGTAGTTCTCAGAAGGAAAAATGCATGGCCAGGAATCCACTGTCATCTGACTTTTGGTACAGTAAAAAGTATATCCTCTAGCATGTTTTGCTTATGTTTTCATTTGCCCTCATTTTTATTCACTTGATAAATATTTTTTAAGACTTACTATATTCCAAAGGTGATAGATTTGAAGAGGAAAGGCCTGGTGTTTGCCCTTCATGAGTTTATGGTGTCTCTGTTCTCACCAATGACACTGGAACCTCTTTTTTGTGTTGGCTCATGCAGAATAAATAAACAATCAAGAAATTTCATGTTATTTGAATGAAGAGGACACATGATTTTGAGATGTGGTTTCTGGCCTTTGACTTTGAGATAAGCATAATAAAATTGCCTAAAGGAGGGGTCAATAGGTAGCATGGTGGTGAAGGTCCTGGATTTTCACATGGCTAGCCATGGTTCAAGTCCCGGACCCAGTGGCTTGAAAATCATGTTGGGTATGTGTGTGTGTGCATGCCCAAAATCCCAAGAGAATGGAGAAGGAGTTGTGGCACAGCCATCTCCTAGGGGGGTGATTTCTGGCTTTCCCACTCTCTTCTCTTTCTCTCTCCAGTGAGTGCATATGTTCTATGGCAAAACCCTAATAAAAAAAATAATTCCCAAAAAGAGAATTCCTTTTGGAATAGAGATGAGGGATGAGGGTGAGTTTATATTGGAGTTAGGTGGTTGGATAGAAAGGGCTTAGCTGATGAGATAGGAAAGAGGAGCCATGAAGCTTTGGGACAGATGTTAGGAGAATTTGGTTTACATTATTTCATCAGGTATCACTGTGCAATATGGATTAAAAAAGGGTTGGCCTAGAGTCAGGGAAATAAATATTAAGGAAAAGGAAATCTCTGAGTTGGAATTTTAGTATGCTTAACTCAAAGTCGGAGAAAATTATTATATCCTATAAAGTCATGTCCCTTCTACATTTGGAGAGCAAAATCCTATAAAGTCATGTCCCTTCTACATTTGGATAGCAAAAAATCTTCTGGCGGGAACCAGCAGATAGCGTAATGGCTATGTCGCTGGATTCCCACGTAGTCGACCGCGGTTCGCGTCCCGGACCCGGTGGCTTAGAACTCACGCCGGGCGCGTGTGCGTGCGTGCCCAAGATCCCGAGAGGAGAATGGAGGAGAAGGGATTGCGGCGTGACCATCCCCCCTGGGGGGTAATTTCTCACTTTCTGTCTCTGTGTCTCTCTCTGTCTGTCTGGTGAGTGCACGCACCCTATAGTGAAAAAACCTCTCAAAAAAAAAAAATCTTCTGACTCCTTAGTTGCATAAACCTATATAAAAAGGGGGGGTTGTATTATAAATTAATCCAGCAATAGTCCCATCCCCTTGAAGGGGCACTTTTAAAATATTTTTGTGATATACAGTTTATTTCCTATGTATTTCTCTCAAATTATAAACCATTTCCTATAGTTGTCTTCACCAGCAGTAAGAAAACACATCTCAAGTATTATTAGAAAGACATTATAATATAGAATCAGATCTTGGAAATATATATGTCGTCATAGTCAAACAAGAACATATTCAATTCTGGTCAAGTAGCTGTGTCCTATAAAAACAAATGACTTGCAAAAGGCCTAGTCAAAATAACTGAAAGTTGTACACTTAGAAACAGGATATTTGGGGCCAGCCCCATGACCTAGTGGTTGAGAAAACCAGATCCCACATGGACAACTGCATGATTTGAGTCCGGGCCCCAATGGCTTAAAAAACACACCAGGTGCATGTGCATGCCCTGAATCCTAACAGGATGGAGAAATGGAGGCGAAGGGATTACAGCATGATTATACCCCATTGGGGTGCTGTCTCCCACTTTCTCTCTCTCTTTTCTCTCTCCCTTTCTTCATATCTCTCTAGTGAGAACACATGCCCTCTGGCAACTTAAAAAAAGAAAAAAATACATTTAAAAATTATTCATGTGCACTCGCAAGAAGATTCTGATCCTCAGTGTACTTGCTTTTCAAGCTATCTCTCGATGCTTTGGAAAAATGGATGAAAATTAAATAGAAAGGGCAAATATTTACATCTAGCAAATATATCAGATGAGTGATCAAGATATTAGAATGTATTACGCTATATTAATGGAATATAATTTGTCAAAAACTAGAAATTTATCAAGAAAATTTTAATTAGGTTTGCAAATGATTAGACTATTAATGCAGGGCACACTTATAACTCAAATAAGTTTAAACGTGGTAGTAAATGAGAGCTTTAGGAGTCTGAATGCATTAAAATTGTTTATACACCTTATCCAAAATGATTGGGACCAGGAGTGCTTTGGATTTCGGATTCGTTTAGAATTTGGAATATTTTCATATATGTAATGAGATATCTTGAAGATGGGACCCACATCAGGCGCGTGTGCGTGCGTACCCGAGATCCCTAGAGGAGAATGGAGGAGAAGGGATTGCAGCGTGGCAATCCCCCCAGGGTTTATTTCTCATCTTCTGTCTCTCTCTCTCTCTCTCTCTTTCTCTGTCTTTCTGGCGAGCACACATATCCTATAGCAAAACCCTCTCCAAAAAAAAAAAAAAAGAAAGAAAGTTTGAGTTTATTTTTATGCAAAGAAACTTTTCAGATCTGTGCGTAGTTTTCTTAAACATTTTCTGCGAGCTTTCTGAAGATCTCCTTACACACCTTACACATAGCCTCAAGGTAGTTTTATACACTATTTCTGAACTGCAGCATTGTGCGTGCAACCTGCCACATGAGGTCACGTGTGCAATTTTCCACTTGTGGCATTATGTTGGGGTTAAAAATGTTTTGGGTTTTAGAGCATTTCAGATTTGGGGTTTTGGGGATATTTCAGATTAAGGAAGCTGAACCTGCAATATGTGATATAAATTTACTTTCTTTTATGTGAAATAATTTGCATTTAAAAAATGTGTAACTGGAAAGGCGCCAAATTAAAAAGTAGGGAGAGGTTAGACGTATAAAATCTTCTGATATGGTAACCTTTTATCATTTTTTTTGAAACATTAAAAGTCTTCTTGCTATAATAAAAAAAAATCAAGGCCCTTATGCAGACATTACAGAAATTTTTGTTATGAACCAAAAAAAAAAGACTCGTTGCAGTCACCAACAAATAGTAGTAAACACTTTAAGTTGTAAATTGTACTCTCTTAAAATTAAAAATAATTTTTCAAACAAAATGTTGCCAGATTTTAAATATTTAACTACAAAAGCAAATTATCTTTTCTACCTGAGATTAAATTTAAAAAATAAAATAGAACGAAGTGTTTCTTTTATTTTTGTTTTCCATTTTTCTTTTTCTTTTTTCCTTTTATTTAATTGTGTTATGAGAGTGGAGGTATGTTGTACTGCAGATGACCTGGAGCCCAGAATGTCTGAATAGCCATTTATTTTGGACTTATGATTCAATTTTGAAGTAGGTGATTGCTATTGATTTATACATTTTTAATGGTCCAACTAAATAAGATTTTGAAAGTACTACCAAATTAGGAATGTTCTAAACAAATATTTTCTGCACACTCCAGGGAGTTACATACATTAAAAATACAAAAGAAAATAAAGTCTGAATCATTTCCTATTCCCTGGCATAATTTTCCTCTAACGGGAATCCTGCTTTTGACTATAGTAATAACTGTTATAAAATGAGAACCATAAAGATGCATATTTGAATACTGATAAAAGAAAGAACTGGTAAAATTTT